AACCAATTAATTAAAAAAAAATGAAATCATAAGAGAGAAAAAAAAAAAAGATTCCCGTTCTAATTCTAGTCGTCTTCAGAAATAGTAATACAATGAAAATCAATTGGAAAAAAAAGAAAGAGACAAATTAAGGAGTACCAAAGAAATTAGAAATAGAGATAAGCGCAGCCGGCAAAATAAACCCTCCTCCTCCTCCTCCGCCTCCTCCTCCTCCTATACATTAATATAACCACCTCTCCCCGGCGTCTCTTCTTTATCCACCTCCGATGAAGCCTTCCTCAGGCGACGTGCAACCAGGCGGGGCGGCTCCGTTCAGTGCTCATACGGCGGTGGTCCGATGGAAGACGGTGAGGCTATCCGTCGCGTTTTTCGGCGTCATATTAGGGCTTCTGGTTCTATATAACTCCGCCATTAATCCTTTCAACATTCTCCCCGTTTCTTACTCCTACCGCGCTTTTCGATCCTATTCCTCTCTCAGAAACCCTCTCCTGGTTAGTTTCTATACCTTTCCCTTTTTTAATGATATTTCTTGGTAACCGGCCGCTAGATTTTAGGGCGGTGGGATTATAAATTACGGAATCTGTGAATTAAACGGAACAGAACTATTTTCGTTCCGATAATGGTAATGCTCACCAAACGGGATTCTGAGAGTCCTAGGATCATCGAATGGGATGGCGACAGCTGGAATTTGTTTGTGAATTTTTTTAATATATTTTTTGTTATAATTTTTGAATTATTGGTGAATATAATGGACGATGGTGGTGGGTGTGTGAGCGTCTGCTATTGCAAAGTTGGCGGTAGGCTCTTTAGCCGTCTGGTCTTCTGCCACCGCCAGCGCGTGCGTTACCATTTTTCTTTGTTGTTTTCCTTTTTTTAGGTGATGGGGGTTATGGCTAAGCGATCATTTCTAAACATAAATATAATAAATGTGAATTTATTTTTAAATATAAATATAAGAAATATAAATTTAAAGATATTTTTATTAATTTAATTTATGAACCGGTGTATTTTATGCTTTCTCTATATTAAGTGTCAAAGACACGACTATTATTTGTCAATATGGTAAATAAATATAGTCTCTAATTATTATATACGAGGATAAAAGCGAGATCGATCTTAAAAAGTGTCTAAAAAAATTATTCGATTTGGAATAAATTATTAAATATATGATATATATATATATATATAAAAGTTAGGGAAAGGCAAGGGGACATGATTTTACAAAGAAAAGTGGGTGATTCTGTTGTAATCATGTAAAAACAAAATTTCCCCCTCCCATTTCTATGCTAATAATTGATGGTTCAGCTCGTGTGTGTATATGTATGTATATATATATATATATATAATGGAATGTGCATGGTTCGGTTGAATCAGAGTAGGGTTCACTACTAAATCATTTATTTTCGAGTAGGGTAGATTTGCGCAATCTAGTTGTTCATTTTAAAAAATTATACTAATTTATATTATATTAATAACTAAAATCTCATAAAATTCAAATAAATGTCAGAAAATGTTCTAGAAGCCCCTTTTAACTTAGTTTGTGTCTAATAAATTTTTAAAGTTTATGATTATTAACTAAAAAAAATACAGGAAAAAACTCTGACAAAAGCATCAAATGAGGATAAAACAGTAATCTTGACAACGTTGAATGCGGCATGGGCAGAGCCGGAGTCACTCCTGGATCTGTTCCTCAAAAGCTTCCACGCCGGAAACGGAACACAGAGGCTATTGAAGCACTTAGTGATAGTATGTCTGGACGCAAAAGCGTACCAACGCTGCGGGGCCTCGCACCCTCACTGCTACCAATTGGACACCGAAGGAGCCAATTTCTCCGGCGAGGCCTATTTCATGACCGCCGATTACCTCAAAATGATGTGGCGAAGAATCCAGTTCCTCACCTCTGTTCTCGAAATGGGTTTCAGCTTCGTCTTCACTGTAAGCTTCCTCTAATTCCCCCTCAAAACGCAGTTCTAATTCAATGATGAGAAGTTCTAGTTTCTGGGTCGGCGCAGGATTCCGACATCATGTGGCTACAAGACCCATTCAATCACTTCCACCCCGACGCCGATTTCCAAATCGCTTGCGATACGTTCAAGGGAAGCTCCGAGGATTTAAACAACAGACCAAATGGCGGCTTCGTCTACGTCAAATCCAACACAAAAACCATAAGATTCTACAAATTTTGGTACGAATCCAGAACCATGTTCCCAGGACGGCACGATCAAGACGTGCTTAACAAAATCAAACACAGCCCATTAATCCCTGAAATTGGACTCAAAATACGCTTCCTGGACACCGCGAACTTCGGCGGGTTCTGTCAGATGGGGCGCGACTTCACCAAGGTGTGCACAGTTCATGCCAATTGCTGCGTTGGGCTCAACAATAAAGTGCACGATCTCAGGATTTTGCTCAATGATTGGTCTAAGTTTGTTAATCACAAAGCTTCGTCCAGGCCTTCATGGAGTGTTCCTCAAGATTGCAGGTATGATCTTGAACGAATTTGCGTTTGTTGGCGATTATATATGACAGAAATTGAATGTTTTTTTTTTTTTTTTTTTTTTTGTTGTTTGTTGGAATGGGAACTTCAGAACTTCGTTTCAAAGAGGGAGACAGAGCAAGCATGGTAAGAAAAAAGGCGGCTGATGGGTATAATCCGAAGCTCTCAGGGAAGAAACTATGTGTTTTGGGTTATGAGAATCAGATGTGTTTAGTTCAAAACATTTGAATTTTAATAGTAACGTTTGAAATTAAATAATCCATAAGGATAATGTTAAATTAAACTATAGACTAAATCTCGTGTTCAACTCTCCCTCGTGTTGAGCTTCCTGTTCCGTCGGATCACTTGCTGTCGCCGCCGTCGGTAAGTCACCGGAGAAGGGTGTGTCTTTCTCTCTCTCTTTGTCTCTCTTTATCACACTCTCATCCCTTTCTGATGAATAGGTGGTCGCCGGTAGCCCATTGGGAAAGTGCCGCGGTGCTCGTTCGTCGTAGGTGCTCGTTCGTCATAGCTGAATGTTAGGGAGGGAGAAGCGCAATAAGTTCATCTAATTCGCGTGGTTTGATTTGGTTCGGTCTAATCCTAACCGGTTCTCGCCCAACCCATTCACTTTTGTTGACTTTGACCAATTTAGCTTCGGTTCTAACCGGTTCGACCCCAAATCGATCAATTTAACCTATTTTTCGTTCGATTCTTTGCCATTTCGGCTGTTCCAACACTTTTCATGCAAGTTCATCCTCAAATTAGGCCACTTTTGATTCAAGATTACTTTAAGCATGTTTATATAAAATCTACGAGTAATTAGTAATTATGTGTATTTTGTGATAGATATGAATAGTTTAGATACATCCAGGTTACATCGAGAAGTGGATAGCTTAGATCGAGTTTATAATGAATTTTTAATGTAATTGAGGTAAGTGAATTTATTATTAGATACTATATGTTAGGTAAGATGAATGGTATAATGTATGATATTTTATGTGATGTGATGTTTAAACAATAAATGTCATGTTATGATGTTAATATTGACCATATGATTTCTTAATGACATGTTATTCTCGCCACGTGGTTCATCAAATTGCATCATATGTTGAAATGAATGCTTTCAAATTATTGGGTTGAAGGGAACAAACTATTTATTTGCATGCAAAACACATTCGATCTGAATTTGATTTTATTAAGAATTAAAATGAAGCACGCAAAGTCTCTTGGATGTGATCCAACGATATGAAGCTTCTTTTACACTGTTATTAGATATTTATTTATTTTTTCGTTATGTATCATTGTTAACCTCACGATTTTAAAATGCGTATGCTATGGAGAGGTTTCTACACACTTATAAGATGATCCATTCCTCTCCCAAACCAATGTGAGATCTCACAATGCACTCTCATTAAGGGCTAATGTCCTCGCTAGCACATGCTCGATGTTTGGCTATGATATAATTTGTAATAGCCAAAGTCTACTGCTAGCAGATATTGTCCACTTTGGTATGTTACATATCGCTGTTAGACAATCCACTCCCTAATGGGGGCCCAGTGTCCTTGCTGGCACACTGCCCGGTGTTTGCCTATGATACCATTTGTAACATCTAAAGTCAGCTGCTAGCATATATTGTCCACCTTGGCCTGTTACATATCATCACTAGCAGATATTGTCCATTTTGATCTGTTATATGTCACCGTCAGGCAATCCACTATCTAACGGGGACCTAGTGTCCTCGCTGGCATACCGCTCGGTGTTTGGCTATGATACCATTTGTAACAATCAAAGTCTGCTGCTAGCAGATATTGTCTAGTTTAGCCTGTTACATAGTATCACTAGCAGATATTGTCCACATTGGCTTGTTACATATCACCGTCAGACAATTCATTCCCTTGGGAGCTAACGTTCTCACTGGCACACAACCCAATGTTTGTCACTGCTAGCAGATATTGTCCATTTTGACTCATTACATATCACCGTCAACCTCACAATTTTAAAACGCGTTTACTATAGAGAGGGTCTAGCCAAACTTTCTCCACAAAATCTTTCTAACTATGACTCGAACTTAAGACAAAATTTATGGGAGCCTTTTGAAAGAAAATCTTCCATGTTAAATTCTCAATTCTCTAGAAGAGTCGTTTATATAGGTTTAATTTCAAAAAAATAAAAAATTAAATGATTGTGGAATGGATTTAAACTATCAATTTTTACCATGGTAGATAGTGTATTATCACTCGGTAAGCTCGAATGAGTTTAAATTTGGTCCGGTAATTTTGAAAAAGTTACATTTTAGTTTATATGATTTAAAATATAAGTAGTCCATGTAATTGGATAAAATCCTAAAAATAAATTCAATCAACTGTAGGGGCGTAATTGTAATTTAACCCATATTTAAAATTGGAAAATTAACCCACCCCATTTTCTAGATTTCAAAAAGAAACATGGGCTAGAAGATTTTGGGTTTAGGGCTTTTATGCCGATTGGGCCAAGAAGAACAGAATGAGAAGATACCCAATCGTAGATCCATCGTCGTCTCTGCGAGAATCAAGCAATCGGAAGTGCTCCAAATGATGATCATCTCATCCCGCCTGTGTGACCATCAAGGGACTTGAAGGTCTTGTCAGGCGAGGAACTGACTTCAAAGGACAGTGAAGACGCGCTACGATGTCGGATCCATTTGCAGGGGCGAAAGGAGGTAGGCTCACCTTCAAGGGAGGAGTCCTAGCCTCCCGTAGTAAGGCTATTGACAAGAAGAAGAAGAAGAAGAAGAAAGGTAAAAGTAAAGGTGACGAGAACCCTACGGACGAGGGAGAGATTTTGTCGTCAGCGGATGGTGCAGATGGCGGTGTCGGAGAAGTGTATACTATTGACGCGGCCAAGCGTATGAAGTACGAGGAGCTCTTCCCGGTGGAGACAAAGAAGTTTGGTTACGACCCTAACAACTACAATACCAAGTTGAAGTCTGTGGAGGAATCTCTCGATGACCGTGTCAAAAAGAAAGCGGATCGTTATTGTAAATAATCAGGTCACTTCTCGCGCTATTTTCCTCTAGGTTTGCCTCTACATTTGTTCTCGCAATTCCATGGCTGCAGTTTGTGTTTCACGCCTGACTTTGATGGATATTTGAGTTAGAATTTCCAATTTGATGTGCCTTATTTTCAGAGAAATTCTGAATTTAGTTAGGACAATATCTTCCTTCGATTCTTTTTACTCTGATGTTTTTCTCATCTCTTTTAGGAGTCCTTGAATAGATATGCATAGGAAGGAATATGTTGCCTAATTCCTTAGGGGACAATCAATTTTCCTCTATGTCTTATACTGTTAGAGAATAGAAAGTTGGGATCTTCATTGGCGAAGTTCTGATCCAATCATAATGAATAGCAAATTATTCAGTTTGCACCATTTTACCTGCTTTCCTGGATAGTTGTTTTGATTACTCATTTTGTATTCTTAAGTCTCAGTTGTTCATAACTTCATTAATTAACGAAGTTGGGTTTAAATAGTTCCTTTTAGTAAGGAACATCTTTTGTTCCCATCCAAGTGCGAAGGCAAGGCAGTTCATGTATCTAACTATACTCCAGAAGAAATCAGGATTAGAAAAAACGGTTCTCCAATTTGTTAATTTGTAGAGTAAGGTGAAATCATGATAACCATATGTGAATGATAGCTGTGAAGTAGTAAAGGTAAGAGCAAGGAGTTGCGGGTATAACCCTAACCTCAAAAGGGGACAAAGGATCTCTCTGACTTAGTAATTAGTGAATAAGGTTATATGACAAGCATCCTCTGTAACTGCCATAAAGTGGTCTCGTGCGCGGCCATCATCTTGTTGGGTCTGGGCTTCCTGCAGTTACAGAATTGCCCGCGGAAGCCCCCTTGATTCCCTCTCTATAAAAAGAAGCTTTCTGCATCTGGGGCGTTGGTGCATGATTTTATTAAACAACGTTCAACTTTCATGTGCTAATCATATAGCTAGCTTTCCTTTTGAGCTAGGATCAAACTCAAATTTTGAGTATGATTGGTCCTTGCCCATTGAATGTTTTTTACCCAAATGGTAACACTTTTTGGGGAGTACGAAGCTCTTCAATTATCACGTTCTAGATTCGTCAGTAGTCTTCCCCAATAGCATTACGTCCAACTGATCTTTTATTTTTCTTGTTGGGGAAAGAAACATGTTACCTGCTCGACATGATATGCCGAGTCAGACAAGGTAACTCATCTTAGGCATAGCCTAAGCCAGAAAGAAAAGAAGGGGAAAGAACAAGAAAGAAAGAAAGGAAGCTTGGAGCTGTAGGCACCTCTGACCTTTTTGTTTTTCCCTCTGTACTCCTTTTGTTTTAGGTGAAAATGCAGAATAGCTTCACATTTTATTGCAGCGGGTGTGGGTTTAGAGAATGGGCTATTCTATTCTATCTTGTGGAGAAAAAGGGGCCCGGTATGGTAGTTAGAAATAGAATCTTGGGTGTTGTCACTGGTGCTGTTATTTAGAATCAGGGTACGGGTAAACTCTTTAGTGGAAGCCTGATCTCTACTTTGTTCACCCTACCCCGCCAAATCCTTTCTATGATTCTCTAGTTCTTTGATAATCTTCTCTTCACCTCTCATCCTTTAATGTAAGTAAGCCCATCTCTTCCAGTTTTCTTTTAGTAGAATAGCTGTTAAAGCTTACCTGTGTTGATGTGAGGTCCCACATTGGTTGAAGAGGGCGACGAAGCATTTTTTATAAGGGTGTGGAAACTTCTCCTTAATAATACGCGTTTTAAAAACCTTGAGAGGAAACCCGAAAGGGAAAGCCCAAAGAGGATAACATTTGTTAGCGGTGGGGTTGAGCTCTTATAAATGGTATAAGAGCCAAACATCGGGTGTTGTGCCAGCGATTATGCTAACCCCTTGGGAGGGTAGATTGTGAGATTCCACATTGGTTGGAGAGGGGAACAAAACATTCCTTATAAAAGCAGGAAAACCTCTCTTTAGTAGACTCGTTTTAAAAACCTTGAGGAGAACCCCGAAAAAGAAATTCCAGAAAGGACAATATCTATTAGCGGTGGACTGTTACAATTGATAATGGAAAATTGCACTCATGATTTTGATGCAATTGCATCCCATATTCTTAGGTTTGAAAACTGGTTTATGTAGAAAATGACTTTTTTTTTTTTTTTTTTTTTTTGCAGTCTACAAAAAAAGGAATGTAAAGATTGGCAAATTTGAAGGTATGGTAATTGAACGTCACACAGGTTCAATTTCGTTTATTACACTCTAATCAGCGAATTTTGCTGAGGAAAATTGTTGCACGTGATGCGACAATAGAGCGGTGCTGCTAACCTTTTGCTTTACATTACTCATGATCTTAGTGCATAACTGTGGATAGCTAGCATCCTTCCATAGTTGATGAAATGAATTGATGTTTGTTTCACATTTTTGTGGAAGCTTTTGGTCCTGAAATTCTTCACCACCTTGTTTATGTTTTGCCATAACACTCATGCCGCAGTTCTTTGTTTGCAGGCATTGGTCATAATGGAACTACTTTTATGGTATGGTATGGTATGGTAATCTATGTAGACTCTCATGTGCCATTACCATTGAAGCAATTTTCGTTCAAGCTGATTGTAACTACACTTCTTTTTCCCTTTAATAGTTTTGCTCTCCCCCACTGTCTAATAGGAGGCCAAATTTGTACCAGCTAACATGAGAACATGACTGTATCTTTAGTTATATATGGACACTTTGTAGAAAGATGGCCTTATGGGTTATTCCAACAATTCACCTACCAAATAATTTACCAAAATTTGACATATAAACCTGGTTTTGGGTTTTTTTAAGGTAAGTGGACACCATGGATTGAACTCGTTCCCTTTTATCGACACGTTCGGGATTTGGCTTGACAAGGGTAAAAACCAATTAAGATAAATGTGAACGATTTTAGTTGTTTAGCAAGTTATCGAAAATCTTTCTATTGTCTGACCAAAACTTTAAAATTTCAATTCCATCTTTCTATACTTTTATCAGATAATTTATATTAAACAAAATAATTTTCAGTTTAAATCCCATAAATTCTTAAACAATGAATTTATAATAAAATAGATGTTAAATATAAAAAATAATTGAAATAATATACCTATTTTGGTCATTTGCATTAAGCATTTTGGGCCAATATATTTGAGCTGGGCCCAAATTTATTCGAGGCGGATCTAACTCGTTATATGTGAGCCCATAAAGCCCATAAGAATATCTTTTATTTGTTTAATTTGGAAGACGCGTTAGGTGTTTTTTGGGACCAATTAGAATCGGACACGTTCGTAGTTGAGATCATATTTGGACCGTCGGATGGAGATGTGTTTTTGGTTTCGATGGATCGGGTCGTAGCTTTAGCAACCTCTTATTATATGGAGCGAAAGGGCTAAACAGTCTGTTAGCGCCGTTCGGGGAGTCTGTGTTCCTTCCGCGAGCCCCTCAGTCTTATCCCCCAACTCCAAAACCCTAGCTCGAAGGTAATTCCCTCCCTCCTCTTCGCTCTTCACCTCTCTGTTTCATCTTTATTCTCTTCTCCTCCTTGCTTCTTAGATTCTATTGTCGGGGACTTTTTCAATCTTTACCCATGCTTGGGCTTCCAAGCTGTGACGAAGTTTTGTAGATTCATTCATCTCGGTTTCTCTTTCTTCTTGCACGCTGCGGTTTTCCAATCTTGTTTGTTCTGCATTTAGGTCCCATTTTTTATTCGAGTGTTTTTGTAGTTGTTCGTATCCCGTTCTTTTCTATAATTTGTAAGCCTTTTGGAACTTTACGGCATTTTGATTGCTGTCTTTGTTTTGGTTATATTTATATGATTGAGGGCTGGGTCATTACTCAGTATTGTTATAGAGTTTTATGATGATTCAGTCTCAGTTAGGTTGTTTTGTTGTTACATTCTCTTTTCTGATTCATATTTTTATTGTAACTGATAGTGTTCTGAAAAATATCGTTTTGATTGGGGATCTGCTCGTGCTCGTATCTTTGGTATTTTTTTTACTTTTATTTTTAATTTAACTTTGTTTTAATGTCATGCAGATGGATCAGGAGAGACTTAGGAAGATTGCCAGTGCTGTCCGCACTGGTGGAAAGGGTACAATGAGAAGGTAATTCTGTAATTTTATTGCAATTTTCATCTTGTCTGTTCTATTGCTGCAACGATTTCAGCCTGTAAGGTGATGATATTGAAGCTTGGATTACAGACCTTCATTTTAGAGGACAATGAGCTACCTGAAATTTGATAACCTTAGACCTTATCAGTCTGGCCTGACCAATTTTGAAGTTTTAAATATTTACACCTCTTCTATAAGGTTATGCAATAGCGAATACTGATGACACCAACTTGGTTACCTTGCACTTGATAAGTTATTTCTTGTCGTTAATTTCCCATTGTCTTGTATTTGTCATAAAATATCTAGTTTTAACTTTCGTAAACTTGTAATTTCTAAAATGAAATTCATTTTAAGATGTTCTCGTTTTATTCCATCAGTTGAATTTTTATTTTCAATCACATTCTCTTGATAATAGAAAGAAGAAGGCAGTTCACAAGACCACCACAACTGATGATAAAAGGCTTCAGAGCACCCTAAAGAGAATTGGTGTGAATGCCATTCCTGCTATTGAGGAGGTCAACATTTTCAAGGACGATGTTGTTATCCAATTTGTCAACCCTAAGGGTAAATTCTTATACAATTTTTGTATTTCATCCTTGTTGTGCTACATTCTTGGATGACTCGTAACGCTACTTGTTAATTTTTTTTCTCGTCCAGTTCAAGCATCTATTGCTGCAAACACCTGGGTTGTTAGTGGTTCTCCTCAAATAAAGAGTACGTATCTCTGTTAAACCATGTTGTAAATCTAGTATGGTGAGGATTGTTTTCTTTTCAGTCCTTTGGAGGCATCTTTAGGAGTAGTATTAGTTCTTCAAAAGAAAGATTTTTTGGGCAATAGGATCATGGCTGCAGGGAAATAATGTTCTTGGGCCTTGTTGGATCTAATCAGTTTTAAATTGAATTTGATTAGTTTTCATATTATCTATTTCGTTTCTTTAGTAGCTCTACCTAATTGAACCTCCCATCTTCTTACCAATCTTTTATATTTGTCTTACTGTTAGAGAGCATCTGGTTTGGAAATTAGATCTCGTTGTCCATTGCACTGAGATTAATTTCGTCCATCATGCATATGGTGATGTTCATGGGAGAAGTGTTTTCTGATCTAACAATGTATGCATTTTGCAATTACAGAATTGCAGGACATCTTGCCTGGCATCATCAATCAATTGGGTAATTCATCTCTTGAGTTTTTTGCCCTATGGTTAGATTTCAATTGGTTTAGTGAACTTCAATAATGTTTTTTTTTTTTCCCAATTATCCTCAGGGCCAGACAACTTGGACAACTTGAGAAAATTGGCTGAGCAGTTTAAACAGCATGCACCTGGAGCAGGTGCTGATGCAAAGAATGCACAAGAGGAGGATGACGATGTTCCAGAACTTGTTGATGGGGAGACTTTTGAAGCTCCTGCAGAAGAAAATCGGGCATCCTAGAGGAGTGATCCTTTCGAATGAGTGTTTTATGCCGTTTTATACTTCTAGAATTGCTTCAGACGAGTTTTTATGATTTCGATAATTCTTAATCTTATCATAATTTAACTTGTTCTCTATATTATGATGAGGAACGGTACTTTCTGTGTTTGTTTCATGCCTGCCAAACTCTTAAATCTTCCAATGATCCTTCTAATCCGCAGTATACACAAAGTTGCAGCGCTAGCTATCTGCAGAGATTTTTGCAATCCATCATTCTACTTGGATGTTTATGACGTTCCATTAGAACAATTCATGGGCATTTGCTTCCTAAAATTACCACTGAGTATCGAAATTTGGTTTAACTTTGTGGTTACTTAGACAGAGGTATGAATTTGTTCTCCCATGTTCGTTTGTGTACCTTAGATTGCCTAGGAACAAATTCAAAAGTGTTCTTATGTATGGTTGTAGAGGCCTCAGAAATGGAACTAGTTGCATTTTGTGACATTTTTGAAAAGGGTACACGAAATGATATGTCAGGTACATTCCCTGGGTAATTCCGTGAACCTCACAGAATCTTTACAATAATCGTATACCAAATGCCTTGCACGAACCCACTTCAGTTGGTGTGCTTTGTGCCTGGTTAGCCCTCTTAACGAAGGCTTGTCCCACCAGAATTGCCTTGGCATCCCACACTTGGCCTCTGCATCCTCCTCCGGCTCCAATTCGCAAGCTTTAATGTCAAAAGATCGAAATGTAGCCACAAATGGCGCGTTGCTCCAATTGGTTTTAACTCTTCCTCCTTGTGTTGCCCAGTCACCCGCATTCCATATGGAACCTCTAAAGCCCATGGCTTGGTTTCTGGGGTATGCCACACCGCTTTCTCCTTTGGTCTCAAACACTCTTATGGGAATATTGTCAACTAGAAACCTATGAATGCAAACTTATTAATACTTTTACAAGTGGGAGATTCCATTCCACATCCATTAAACTAGAGCACGGTTGCTTCGTTGCTAGTTTTGTAAAGGTTAGTTTAAAAATAAAATTAGAATGTTAATGTTAGACGAAAACCAAGTGATCATGGAATAACATAACAAAAAAATTTATGGGTGTCATGAATGATCAGAGTGAGATATGAAACTTACACTATAGAGTGGCGATTCCAGAAGAGGGAATAAGTATGAAAATCAGTAGTGGGGTCAAACCAAAGAGTGTGCCTTTGCTCTCTGTTCCCGGTGCCATTAGCATACACATTGGTTTGAACTAGATATGGTTGTCCCGACAAATTTCCTAGAAACTCAAAATCTAGCTCATCGTGGTTCGGCCCCTCTGATGCCATCTGTAATTTTACACACATAAGTTAGTTCTCACTTCATCTTTGTAAACTGGTTTGGAGTTTAGATACCAAGTGCGTGTGCATTACGTAGAAGGCTGTCACTGTCCCTGAAGAGTCGCCTTCCACTAGTTTGATTTGGACACTGGCTTTTCCGAATAGATACTTCTTCTTAGATTCAAACCCACACCCTGAAACAAACAAGTAAACATAACAAACTAGAAATTGACAGATTTTGAGAGATTTTGAACGCATGGTGTGTTTGTTTATACCAGAAACAGAGTCGAGTGTTAAGTTGACGTGATCTTGTTGAATGAGGATATGATCGGGCGACCAATTTGATTGGAACAAGTCATCAAAGTCGGTGCAAGAGACAGACCAAACGAGCAATATGAGCAAACAGTGGAGTAAGCGCATTGGTTTAGAATGCAAAAGCCACCTCGCCATACTCTGATAGTGTGGAATCAAAGTTGTTAAGCCAAGGAGGAGATTTATAGGCAAAATATGGATGGAGGAGTTGATTGAAAAGTGCAATGGGGGGAAGGTGAGGTAAGTGGGACGGCTGCTGCAAACACGTCAGGCATCACTCAGGAGCGGCGCTGAGTATCAAGTTATACATACAAACGGTATCAATCAGCTTTCTTATTCCACTTTCACCCCACCACACCCACACCACTTCTTCCTACTTCTACCATCACACTCACACCACTTCTCTATACTTCTACCATCTTTTTCACCTAATTTTTCACATCTCAATCATTTCTTTATTACTTGACACTCAATGTGAACAAATCGTGGTTGAGAATGGACACGAAAATTGACTCAATATGTCTAAAACGATGGTCCATTCGTAGAAAGTCGTGAAAATGCAAGGATAATACAAATATAAAAATAAATTTATTAAAATTTTCTATTAATACAAATAAAAAATATATATTTATTACAATTTATAATAAAGGAAAAGAATATATATACACTTTTTTATATGTAAAAAAGTGGGGATGGGCCTGGTGATGAATTAGGCGAGAATGGCGTGAAAAATACCATTTTCGTCCTCGATCTCATTTATCTATATGTCAAAGATATTTAATATTAAATGATAATTTATCCTATATATTATATTTAATATTTTATTATAAGTAAATATCTAAATATTTGTTTTTTTTACCGATTTCCATTTATTACTATTTTCATATCTTATAATTTATTTTATGGAAAATAGAGAATTTAGAAGGAGTGAATTTCTATGATGTGTCGTAGAATAAATATTAATTCATCAAATTTAAATTTTGATTTTAAAAAAATAAAAATAGGGAGGAGCCACGTAAGGGGGGAATGAACGCGACTCTATATCCTCTGCTTTCCTCGCGCTCCTCTACGATTTCTTCCAAATCATACCCTTCCAATTCATTCTCACAACCAGGAGATTCGGATCTGCACCAATCGCATTTGCCGCCGTCAAGGTTCCTTTCAGACACTCCGAACTCTCATCGGCGTCGCACCTTCCTCCATTACCGTTAATTCTTGTGGTTGTTTACGAAACTGCGGCGCTGGCCCTAACGTTGGCCATAAAGCAGTTGTCTGGTGGAGGCTGTGATTCTATCGGTGTGTGTAAGAGTTTGAAGGCTCTTGCTCTGTGGTAGAGAGATGAAAGTGAATTGGAGGTTGGGAATTTCTCTCAGGCCGAGCCACTTTTCCTGTAGTTAAAATTGTTCCGCCTTTTACCGAGTGGCAATGTTGATAACCACGTCTCCATTCTGCTTTTCTTTCTGCAATTCGGTATGAAAATCTTGTTCACCATCATTATATATGATGCTATGCTTCAATTTATATGCCCCGTCTTATACTAAATTTGGTTGCCATGGTTGAATTTGTGCCAATAAGCGCTGAAAATTATAGCTCAATCAATTTTAAGTCGCCTAAGTTCTTTCGAAACGCTATATGTTGTTGATAATTTGTCCTGTATCTCTCTAGTTTACGGATATCTCTGCACTTGAAATTTCTTGTTCCTCGACTTCACTGAAGCAGCTGCATTCAGAAAATTTAGCTGCACAGAACTTCTTTGAAAAATTTCAGGTCTATCATGAGATTCGCACAGGGGAACCATTCTGGTGACCTTAAAGGTGCAAATGAAGCTCTAGGTGAGAAGTATTTTGGTTAATCATCATGTGCATTACATTCCATCTCAAAAGATAGACGTTAGTTTTGAGAAAATAACTAGGCTGCCACACTAAAATGAGTCTGGATTGTGAATTTAGTTATTATCGAAGGAGAAAAATGTAGAGCTCAGGTTGTGATACATCAATTTATGGACAAGATTTACGATATACAGAATTCCAATTTCTTCCATTTCAAATGATTTTAAGATCTGTGTAGTGCCAAGCTCTAGAAGTCAAGAGCAAGAGAAAATTCAGAGGATAACAGGAAAACTTTAGACATGACCATCAATTATAATTGTAAATTCAGGGATCAACTTCTTTGTGATGCATGAACCTTTATGCCAAGGACCTCCTGGATGTAAGGGGAAAAAAGTTAAAGTTCTAAAGACCGATGATTCTAAACTGTAATTTAGGGGTCTTTCGAACCTTCATTCAGCTAATAGAACATGCAACTTTGTTGATCATCACTATTTTTTGTCCTTTAATTGAGAAGATGTGAGAAAAGGGATTCGAACTCTAGTGTACACTATTGTATAGTTCCGAAGATGTGTTCCCTAATTTTCATTTTGCAGGCTTACATTCGTAAAGGTGACAGCATTCTTAACTATGGAGCATTTTGATTCAGCTGTGATGCATATTCAACAGCTTTAAAATTTGATCCTTCAATTCGTCTTCAAAATCATTCAAGGTATTGATTCACTTATCTTGATAGGAGAAGAATATGGGCAATTTCATTACTGGGACAAAAGAGACCACTTAAAATTACTCCGGTTACAAGTCAATCGATAGCCTGTAAAACTTAACTGTCTGAAAATAGTCTCCCAAACAAGACTATTTGTTTTATGACTTTTTTGAAACTGACCTCGAACGGAGCGCAGTTTCTGAAGTGTCTGCCATCAGAATTTCTCACTGATCCTTTTCAATTATTCCCTTTCGAGTTCATCATTTTACAAAATGTGATTGAAGTCGGATTTTGTTAAGGGCTGCTAGAGTGCCTGTTTAATGTTATTCTCATATTTGCACATCATTTTTTCTATAGGTAATTTCAGGAGAGACAATGTGCCGTGCATATGCAACAAATTCTGAGAAAAAAAATGATGACACAGTTCGAGATTCAGCCGTGCCTTCAGGTTGTTTCCAGGTTTCAAATTCCCGTCTCATATCGTCTTTCAAACCTTACTTTGGTTAAATGCCTAGAAATTTAATTCAATTTCGAAGTTTCTTTGAAATCTGAATGGGAATTTGTATAATTCTACATGAGAATGATTTTGATCCCAAGAAAAATAAGCAGCTAAGTACATCAGATTGTAAATGTCTAAAAGAAATCAGAATTTCGTGAAGAAAAAGAACTACTAAACATAATTCAGTAATTTTTTTCCCAATGGATAATGCAGTGTTCTTGTGCCTAACTTCCTACCCATATACCCCGCCACGACAATCTTCGTGCTTCAAAAAGTTAAATTAGAAGTATGATTGTGACAAAAATAATCTTGAGATTAATAATTGATAGTCTTTGAACATTGAAAGTAAGTTTCTAAATTTCGATTCTCTCTCTAATCGATATTTGACAAATTCAACAATTTTTTAGATTATCAGTTTTGTGCCTAATAAAACCTTTTTTTTTTTTTTTTTTTTTGTTTAATAGGCTTGTAAAATTTAAAGAACATCGAATACGTCAAAGATCTAATTAGAACATCAAACAATTTGTACACCTTCCATTACTTGCCTTGATAATATTTGCTCTTTCATCAGACTAATGTCATTGAAATCTTCCCTTGCATTATTTGCCATTGGGATTGAACATTTTCCTAGATAGTACTGTAAACCAAAAGCATAAACCGTTGTTAATTAACTTGCTGCTTTTCATTGTTTAGGGATTCCATGTTCATTATCTTACTGTCTTCCTCAAATTAGACCACCACAGCAAAAAGCAGATAAAAGTTGGCGTCAGAAGGTGATGGAACTTAAAACTATTTCATACTACTGCTTTCTAGTACTAACATTTAGTGTCCAATGCCACAGTACCAACAAAAAACTTCCACTAAGTTATTTATAAGGGATTGGGGATTGGCCATCTTAGGAATTATTACATAGGATTGGTGCTATGACCACATAAAAACATGTCCATGCTCTTCACCTTAGCCCACCACCTGTAAGTCTTCCTCCCGCTGTTACTTTTTCTGTCACTGCCGCTGTTGTTGATGACACCAGAATGATGCCTCTTCGATTTAAGTTTTCTAATCTGAAAGCACGCCTCCAAGGTTACCTCATTCCCATTGTGTTCTTTGTTCTTACTGATACTCTCTACCATTGTTTTATCTATCTTCGCAAGCTTCTCATAGTACTCTCTATTCTTTTTCTCCAGCCCATAAATCTGTCCCTGTAGATCTTCTATTTTCTGGTTGAGTAGGTAAGCTCTATGATCATCCCGCAGCTTCAGCATACATCGTGCCATCTCACTCGCCTTCTGTTTCATGAACACAGACTCCGCTACCAACCCTTTGTTTTCTTCCATCAAGGAAGCCACCCTATATCCCAATCTTGCATTTTCATTCAGTAATATGAGCCTTTCAGACTCCAAAACCTCAAGCAAACTCTTTTGAAGCTCGATCTTCGTGGAAGAATCACCACATTGCTTTTCCAGGATGCTTACCTCATTTATAAGAATGTCATACTCCACATTCTTGATGACAATCTCCGCAACAAAGGCATCATTGTATACCATAGGATAGTTTTTAGCTGGTATTATAACGGATACTTGCTGGTAGGAGAGAGAGCTCTCTGCATCGGACTCGATTTGACTGATCCCTGAATCTTCGACTCCATCGAAAGAGTCGAGGGTTGAAGTAACAGAAGAGTGCCTGTTGTGATGATGGTTGTGACGTTTGGCAATGGTTTGAATGTAGCGATCGGATAAGGTGGTGTAAGCAGTGTACAGTTCTTGAAGAAGCGCCAGCAGTTGAGGGCGTTTGTTGTAGTAAAATTCTGCACGTTCGGCAAAACTGTCTCCTGCGTCGTTCTCTCCAGCATTTTTCATAGCAAGTAAATTGATCTTCTGCTCCATATCTGCCCATAGCACAACACGAGCAAGACAACTTACAAGCTATATCATGTAATTGGATCTTCTAACCACGATTGTTGGACCTAAGTTAAACTCATTTGATAATCATTTGTTATTTGATTTTTAATTTTGGTATTTGAAAATTGTGCCTATTTTGTCCTTGTTTTTAATGATAGTTTACATATTTCTTAAAAGAAATAATTATAATTTTTCACCAAAACAAACAATAAAACACAAGGACCTGCATCAATTATCACCTATATAGAATTGAGAATAAAAGAAAAATCCAAGACGAGACATATAGAATAAGGAATGAAAATATTATAAACCAATTCAAATCTTGAAATATGCAACGGAAATCTATAAACTATTGATGTGGCATTCATCTTTAGAAAATGAACAAATGATTTTGGCATAATTATATTAAAAGGTATTACAGGGCAACTGGGCTTAATTTTGTTCTGAATTTCCAAATCATTTCATTTAAAAGCTTAAAAATGGTGTGTCAATAAGGCTTAAGGGAACATAAAAGGACATAGGAGCAAATAATCATCAGGATAGCAATTGAATACTCACTTGAAATTTTGAATTCCTGTCAAATTGTGGGGCAGAAAGGCAATGGTTCCCCGCCCTAGACGGTTCTTTTGGCATTACATTGTTATAAAGGAGAATGACCCATCCAACAACAATCTCTATCATATATCCCCAAAATTCAATTCCATCAAATTATTTTGAATGAAACTTTAAACTTTCAATTCATTCCAAACAATCAGAATCCCTAGAAGAAAAAAAAAAGACTAAACTGGCTGATGGGGCAAGAAAACAGGCTGTAGGTTCACATACTTCAAAGTCCTCACGGGTTTGCATCAATCAGGCAAATGATAAGATGCTGTTTATAGGAAAGTTGTTGAGGACTGCTCATGGCTCAGGGATGAAAGAACACAAAGGAATAAAGGTGGTTTCACATGGACTATAGACATGGGGGCTTCGCTTTTCACAGTTTCAAATTTCAAAAACAAAGTGAGAATAAAACATTATGAGGACGAAAATTCAAGACTCCCAGACTTTAATTACTCCAACCACCTACCACTCCTACTGTAATAAATTGTGTACATGGCTACAAAATAAGTCAGTAGGTAACAGTGAGTAGGCAAGTCTTTTCCCTAGCCTAGACTTGGGCTTTCTCCACCACCACCCCCACTTCCCTGGTCTTCAGTATAGACTCTCAAAGAGCTAAAACCTAAGATAGATACATGGGGTTTGAAAAAAATTAGTGAAAAGAGCCATTTTTCAAGCTAACAGTCAATGATACCTGCGAGAGAGGACGATAACAATGAAGGGGATTTGGGGCCGAGTGTTATACTGTTTCTGTTGCTGCTCAAACTCTCACAAGATGGAGATGAAGGTGTCCGCTTGGTCCAAACATCTTCTTCCTCCGGGGCCACCATTTCCATCTCGCTCAAAGTGCATCCAACCACAGTGACACTAGCGTAGCTGACAACACGGTTTGTACTATTCCCGGTTAATCAGCCGACAGAAATATGTGCAAAACCACTACTTTAAAACGACCGACAGAAAAGCAATATATTTTATCGCATACCCATCAGCCAATATTAACCTAAAATACAGGACAAGGATGAGCAACGCATGATTTAAGCATTACAGGGTATACACATGCATCTTTAATGAACACTTCAAAACTACAATTTAAAACTATCTTTCAACTCTTTCATGGGGATTTATTTTAGATAAATTGTTGAACAAAGATCAATATTTATGTCGTGATTTTATTGAATGTCAGTAGTAATGATGTAAGTTCCAATTATAAAGGCATGGCCCGTAAGGTAATTGGGGCAGGCAAGTTGGCAAAGCACAAAACCCAATAAAATCCAACGCCATAAATGCAGCAGGCCGTACAAAAACCTAACCTGTGTTTAGAATAGAAAAGGAATAAACAGTCTAGTATGGGCAAGAGCAACAGGAAGTTGAAAAGTAATTCATCGTGTTCTCTTTAAAAAATTGGCGCAGATCTCGAAAAAATTTCAGCGTAGAGATAAACAAGTGCAAATCACATCACTAAGTCTGTCTCAACATTCATGGTTCCGGAAGCTGCAAAACCGTATTACTCAAATCCCCAGGTTATTCTTATAATGCTTCCAAATTTTCTTGACTTCGATCTTTTTCATAGGCACTGGATCACTACAAACAAATCTGAAAATCCTTTGATGCAAAATTAGACCTAGGGGCAAAACGTTTAAATTACATTCCGACGATTTGGTACCTGCTGCGATTCAATTCAAGTGTTGAATCAAATGATAAGAGTAGCTTCGTTCGGTTGTTTGGTAGAGCAATAATTTGGAAGTAATGAAAACAGATAGAGAGAGAGAGAGGAGGTTCCGATTTTAAGAACCGCCATCCTCGTTTTCCGGTGGTAATTGCAGAACACAAAACGCTAGTGGACTACAACTAAACAGAACGTGCATAGATTCCAAATTGCATTACCAGGAATCAAAGGAAAAAAAAAAAATCACAAAACGAAAACCGTCTACAGCTGAAGACAATGTTGATACTCTTCTTCATAGAAACGCAACCAAACAGGATTGAAATCAGCGAGAAGCAAACAGATTAAGAGAGTAACGTAACCGAGAAACAAATGCAAAGAGTAGCAGACGATTCACAAGAAAATGAAGTAGATCAGTAGAGAAGATACCGTGGAAACTCACCTGAACCGACGCCGTTCGTGTATCCGGCCAAAATAAGCGGAGAGATGGCGATTCCGGCGAGATTTGGAGGGTGAGGGTTTTGATTCAAACGGCTAAAGAGAAGGAGAGAGAGATTGAAGGGATGAGGCTATTTCCGTTTGAAAAACACTCCAAAGTTCACATAATAAAAGCAGAAATCTTTTTCCCAATGCTTTCTTCTACTTTATCGACATTTTCCCACAACGGATGGATTTTAAATCGTTTTTTGAATTTGATTTTTAAATAACTCAGATTTTTTTTTTTTTTTTTAAGGTTTAAAATTTATTATTTTATAATTATTCTTGTTTAGAAATTTTAGAAAATTTGTCATTATTCTATTAATTTACTATAATTTATCTCTATATTTGGAAAATTTGGCTAAATTATTAAAAATATATATTTTAAAGTCAATATTATTTTTGACATTTTATAAATATTAAAATTTGTAGTAAAAATTTTAGACAGAGACAATTATATCATAAGTATTTATTATTTTTTTTTTAATTTAGCTTTCAAAGACATTTAATTTAATTTTTTTTTTTTATATAATAAAGTTAGATGTTTTTAGTTTTACAATAATAAATTTAAATAATTTATTTTTTGTTTTATAAAGCCAATTGGAGCGCAACGTCATACATGCCCAAAGTCGTATCGAATATTATTATATTTTCCAAAGCTTTCAAAGTTCCATATTCAAATTCATAAGCTTGAAATGGCATTGTAATTATTATGGGGTGCTGGCGAAGTACTGTGATGGCATGCACAAATGCGCAGCAATATACAAATCCATTTGACGAGCCAGCCAAAGAGGTTAATGGCAATTCAACAACTGAATAATACAACAAAATCTTTGTTTTCGTTTTCGTTTCTCGTTTCTTGTTTCTTATTTCTTGTTAAATATGATGACTCGTTCCTGAGATTCGTTTGTGTCTATCAAATACTAAGAATGGAAATTTACCATTAGTTAGCCTCTATCGAATCAGCTCCATAGCGACAAGTAATTTGATCTCCTTCTAATAGCTTCTCGACGACGTCTGAGTGCAAGCCCGTCATCTCCAATGTCTTCTCCCACATTCGGTAAGCAGTCTCGACGTTGTGTGCCTCTTCTGAAGGATTTGTTGGACGGCATTCTTGGGCAAGAAATGCACAAACAGGCCATTTATCAGCTTTAAGAAGTTCACAGTATTCTGGAACTTGAGGATCAGTGGCAGCAAAGAGAGTACTTCTGGAACCTGCAATTGACGAATAATGATGTGTATTTGATTTCAAATGCCAAGAGGAATAGAGACATGCATCAAGCTCAACAAATAAGTTTGAAATTGATGCACCTTAACCAAAGCCATGAAGACATTATTCATCAAGATTAAACAGAAAATCTAGATGAAACAAGTTCTTCCGGTTTAGGAGGGGCGGCATATGTTGAGGATTGTTGGGAAGAGTCCCTCATCGGCTATAACTAAAGGGGTTGATCATGGATTTATAAGTAAAGAATACATCTTAATTGGTATGAGGCCTTTTGGGAAAATAAAAAACAAAGCCACTAGAGCTTATGCTCAAAGTGGATAATATCATACTATACTATTGTGGAGGTTTGTGATTTCTAACGGCATATCTATTCACCCTAGTATTTTCTATTTCCTTGAATAAAAATGAACAACTTTTCAAGAGCTAACATCTTGTTAATGGGGATAAGGAGGTTCTACCTTTGGAAAAGAGCAGGCTTGGTCTTGACAAGATTAGAAAAACAAGTTCGGCTTTCTTTCTAGAGGTTTTACAACCAAGCAACATGGTTGGTCATGAGGTCTGCTTTCCATTTTTTGATTTAAAACAGGAAGGTTCCTCAAATACTCCTAAAAAGAGTGATAAGTCATAGAAATTCTAGAATTAGTTTGACTTCTAGTATTTGGGAGATTTTCACAAAGTTTCTCACATGATTCTTTCCCATTAATGCATCTCAACCACAAAAACTCGAGACATTCGCAATTAGGAATCATTATCAAATGTAGCTATTTTGTCCTTTTAGAATAAAGATTGACATTATCTCATTTAGTTGAGACAAGAAACAATGTAATCACTTGAAATGGCTTACCTTCTTGAGGACTGAAGATAAAATAAGGAATTAGGCGATAACCAGCTTGAACAATTTTTGAAAGATCCCTTGCCTGCATTGATAGGCAAAATTAAACGCAATACAAATAGTGATGGTTCATATCAGACTGCATTCAAAGGATATAATTCTACTACCACCTGACTGAGTGAAACCATTCAGCACAAATATATTGTTGATCATATTACAAAAAGGTATGAGATCCTGCAAATATAATATTCCAGACGCCTATAATTAAATATATTGTTAATCATATTACAAAAAGGTATAAGATCCTGCAAATATAATATTCCAGACGCCTATAATTTTGGTAACATGGATGTGGGTTTTAAAGCAGTCATTTTCAACACAAGGCTCTGCTATAATCATGTAAATTATTCTGTGATTTGGAGTGAAGAGGAAGCAAAATGTGCAGAAATTAACAGTGGGGTAAGATAAAGTTGTCAAAGTGAATTTCCATACACAGATAGAGGACATTTCAGTGAAAATTTTCTGAAAATTTTAAGAAGCTGCTGAGAATTTTAGTAGAAACTCAATCCACTTATTGAGATAACATCCAAATACATTAGTAACAAGCATAATTTCAGTCATCAAATAGTTAAGCATCATTATGACTTCTGAAGATAATGATGGGATAATAAAATATACGTGAATACTTCAATCTCACATCATATCAAGGAATGTACAAGATGATACAAATAAAATTGAAGATATATATATTCTAGAGTCTTGTTTCCACTACCAAAAAGCTGGTACTTCCTCAAGTAAGAACTTACCACATTTGTGTGAACAATCCCAGGTGAAACGCACACCACATTGATGCCAGATTCAGCAGGCAGCTTCTTATGAAGAACACTGCTAAACATAACCTGTAATCCAGAAACCATTAGACCAAGCTATGTAATGTTGGCACCCAAGAGCAGTATAAAAACAGCTTTTATAAGCCAGAAGTTAGAGATCAAACAGGAAAACTGAAAGGTGAGTTATCAATGCACAGTAAATACATCGTCTAATAATCGACGAACTGCCTAATCAAATATAGGGGGGAAAATGAAAGAGGATATTAGTAATACTCAATTTAATATAATAGGCTGGCTTGAGAATCCTTGCTTAAAACAATACAAAATGAGCAAGAATCAAGGACGTACAGGAAGATGTCAAACAATGTAGCAAACAGTGAAACAAAAATCATATTGATACCTGGAACATGGCACATCAATTTATAGAAGAGAAAGTTTCAAGGTTACAGAAGCAAACTTGATTTGTTGAATTGCGCAAAAAGGTTTTAACGAATTCATACTCCCATAGAGAAGTGATTCTCCATGGAATGCCATTTTAAAAAGAGGAAAACAATAACTAAACAGAATATGACCATTGTTTCAAGTGTAAATTACTGATTAAATTGACTAAGAGGGAAGGAACATGGAATATCATAATTGAATGCACAATAATAATAAATTATGAAAAAAAAAAGAAATACAATTATAAAAGGATATGAGTAGTGGGAAGGAATTGACTAGTTGACTAGTAACTATACCTGTGCCAACTTACTGCTAGAGTATCCAACTAAGCTTGTAAATTTCCTTTTTGGTGAAACGACATTCATGTCTTCCGTGTCAACGAAACCAACATAATGCATCTACATATTAAGCATGTAACTGTGATTACATGACAGAAACAAACATCAAAATGGCCAAATACGAAATATCTATTTTGCCAACATGATCTCTAGTAGCAAATAGCCAAGAAAAATTTGACTCCACCTTACAATTGAACCCAGGGCTGTAGGGATTGAAAATGGTCGTTATTGAAAATCCGATCCTAGACCCACCATGCAACTGATGTGCATAATGGAAGTCAAATCATTTCATTCCAATTTTTTCCCAGGGCTTATTTTTATTTTATCTTTCGAAAAAAATGATTTTTGTCATCACACAGACAATATATGCACTTGATTGTGATATTGAAAGGCTAATATAAATTTTCATTACTGAATATACTTCTTATTCTTAGAATGAAAAAGAGCACTAATGCACAGTTAAGATTAAATCATTACATAAACTTTATTAGCTAAACACAAAGTATACAGATTACCATTTTCAATGTATGAACATGTACCCATAAATTATACGATGCAGAAACATATGATCTATGCTTTTGTATAGTGCCCACGGAACTTACAACGGAGTTCACATTAATTATTCGGCTTGGGGAACCTCTGATAAGGGATGGCAAGAGTAATATTGAAAGCAATGCAGGTGCCAAATGATTCACTTGCAGGTGCTCTTCATAACCATCTTTAGAAAAATTTTGTGGCTCTAGAGACAATAAACTCAAATTAAACCAAGGCATTGGCACATATTTCTTTACCAAAAAAAAAAAATAGTATTATAATCAAAGGAATGTAATCGCTCCACAACTACAGTACGATGAAAGTAAAGAAATGAATATTCAGATTCTTTCTTTTCTGAATAGCAAGCATAGGATCTTCAGAAGCATTTACACTCCTAGGAATAGTCAGCATAAATGTTTAGAACAGAAAAGAACAGTAATCGCCAGCATAGGAGCAGTAATCGACGAGCAAGGTGAATGTTACATATCAAGTAAGCTATCACAGAAAGTTTCCACAAAATGCATTATGTACTAAAAATAGAGAATAACAAGCATTTACAATGGAAAAAAAACACAAACTATTTCAATTGCATCTCTTCAACTGAAGAAATGTCCGGTAAGAAAAGTAACTGACATTTATAAATAACTTAGTTGATTCAGGCGTGGCAATAAGGAAATGGAAAAATAAATCAACAAGTGAGTAAAAAATTGCTAACCTCCTATGGAAAATATTCCGGCATTGTTGATAAGAACATGTAAAGGTCCCATACGAGCATTATAAGCTTCAGCAAATCTCACGACAGAATCTAGAGATAGAAGATCAAGTTCCATTACCTAGAAAAATCACAATGTATATCACTTATTAACAATGCATTAACTACTATTTCTAACATAAAAAGAATAATGTAGAATCTGAATTGAAGTTCAAAGTTCTTTTGATGCAGAGCTACAGAGTT